GGTGGCTGAGTTAATTGGAGCATTGTCTTGCACATCAAAAGTTTGCACGTTTGATCCCTGGCCAAGGTACATACCTAAGTTGTGGGTTCAATCCCCAATCAGCCCGCGTATGTTTCTCTCTTTCTCTCTCTCTCTCTCTCTTTCTCTCTCCCTTCCCCTCTCTCTAAAATCAGTAAAAACATATCCTCAGGCTCTGACTGTTGTGGTTCAATGGATTGAGTGTTGTCCTGCAAACTGAGAGGTCCCTTGTTGGATTCCTGGTCAGAGTGCATGCCTGGGCTGTGGACCAGGTTCCCAGTTGGGTGTGTGCAAGGGGTAGCCAATTGGTGTTTCTCTCATACATTGATGCTTTTCTCCCTCTTTCTCCCTCCCTTCTTCTTGCTCTAAAAATAAATAAATATTAAATAAATAACCTAAACAAACAAATAAAAAGCCATATCCTCAGGTAAGGATTTAAAAAAAAAGAAACAAATGCTAACTCTCTAAAATCTCCTGTAGCCCAAACAGACAGGGATTGAATCACAGATACCTCTTCATAGGTAGCCCTTCATGTGGATTATGACATGTGACCTCAGTTGCTGCCTCTCTGAAATGGGCGGCTCTGAGGTCAGCATCAGATTGGGAGGCAGGGTGTAACCACTGACGGAGGCTCCAACAATGTTGGTGACATTTAATCACTCTGTAAAAGCCAGTCTGTGAAGTTAAATCCCTCAATCTTAAAACCAACATGGACTATTAAATGGCAGCAAGAAAGAAAGACTGTTTGGTTTCTCTTGTGAATAGCAGCTTTTCTTCTTTGTGCTTTTTTATTTTTTTGAATCTCATTTTTTTTTTATTGTTTATGCTATTACAGTTGTCCCAGTTTTTCCCTCTTTGCCCCCTTCAACCCAGCTCCTCCACTCCCTCAGGCAATCCCCACACCGTTGTCCATGTCCATGGGACGTGCATATATGTTCTTTGGCTACTATCTTCCCTATGCTGTACTTGACATCCCCAAGACTATTCTGTAACTACCAATTTGTACTTCTTAATCCCTTCACCTCTTTCGCCCATCTGCCCAATCCCCCTCCCATATGGCAACCATCAAGATGTTCTCTGTATCTATGATTCTGTTTTTGTTCTCCTTGTTTGTTTATTTTGTTTTTTAGAATTTTTTTAGGATCAATTGTTGATAGATATGTATTTATTGCCATTTTATTGTTTATATTGTTGTTGTTGTTGTTGTTCTTCTTCTTTTTCTCCTTCATCTTCTTCTTCTTCAAGAAGACCCTTTAACATTTCATATAATACTAGTTTGGTGGTACTCAGTGAAAGAAACAAAACTCAACACAAAACATGACATATTGTACGATTTCATTTATATGAAATGCCCAGAATAAGCAAATCAATCTATAGAGTCAGAAAGAGGTGAGTGACTGCCTAGGGCTGTGACGGGTAGATGGGGAGTAACTGCTAATGGGCACAAGGTTTCTTTTTGGAATGACTGAAATGTCCTAAAATTAAACTGTGGTGATTTTTACACAAATCTATAAAATATACCACCATTGCATTGTACAACTAATAGAGGTGAATTTTATGGTATGTAAATTATACTTCAAATAAGCTTTTATAAATAAATATAGAAACTGACTTTAGCCTGTAAATTAAAAGAGGAATCTATGAGTCTCATCCTAATACAAATAAACAGATGTGTAAATAAATATGTGGGGAAGAAGGGAAAGCTCTTCCTTACAGTAAAATCCCAGCTGTACATGTAAAAGAAAATCATCAGTTGGCCACCATAACAGTAGTAATTGCTTCAGGCAAGAATCACCAACGGATGCTAGACTAGTGAATGGAAGTCTGAAGAAAAATGGGAGAGTTACACAGTCTCAAATTATGTCCCTACAGGGTATTTATTAATTAGAAAGGAAAATAGTAAATTTACAGTGCACAAACCTGGAAGATGCCACCTTAATCAAATGATCAAAGGTAATAACAATTTGAGAATTTACCAATACTTTGTGCCTCTAGTTACAGTAAGAAAAACACAGGTCACTTCTGTGGAATTCCTGCCAAAAATGCAGAATCCAAATCTAAGTGTAAGGGGAAATATCAGATAACCCCAAATCAAAACACATCCCTCCAAATAATTGGCCTGTGGTCTTTTGAAAACATCAAGATCAGCCCTGACTGGTGTGGTTCAGTGGGTTGGGTGCTGTCTTGCAAACCTAAGGTTTGCTGGTTTGATTCCCAGGCACGTGGCCGGGTTGCGGGCCAGGTCCCCTGATGGGGGCATGCGAGAGGCAATGGATTGATGCTTGCCTTGCACATCGATATTTCTCTCTCTCTCCCTCTCTTCCCCCTCTCTAAAAAGAAATAAAATCTTAAAATAAAAAGAAAACATACATCAAGATCAGGATAGTTAAGGGAGGACTGCAGTATTAAAAAGACCTGATAACAGAATGCAGATCGTGACCAAGGATTTCCTTTTCCTACAGAAGGACATTATTGGCACATCCACTAGGATGTCTAGAATCAAGTCAGATAACACGTGGAGATGAGAATGTGGAGATATTGGAACCCACATACACTGCTTGTAGGAATCTAAGAAAATGTTCTTGTTCTTAGGAAATTCATACTTAACTATTTTGTTGAAAGGGCATCATGTTTGCAACTACTATCAAATAGTTTAGAAAAATATATAAACAGAAATATAGATAAAATATGAGGCCTGACAATTTTTGCCAATCTAATAAGTGAAAAGTTGATCTTACTGTATTAATTTGCATCTCTTTTTTAAAAGATTTTATTTATTTATTTTTAGAGAGAGGGGAAGGCAGGGAGAAAGAGAGGGAGAGAAACATCAATGTGTGGCTGTCTCTTGTGCGCCCCCATTTGGGGGCCTGGCCTGCAACCCAGGCATGTGCCCTGACTGGGAATCGAACCTGTGACCCTTTGGTTTGCAAGCCAACACTCAGCCAGGGCTAATTTGCATCTTTTTAATTATGGGGAGACCATTTAAAATGCCCCAGAAACCATACTGCAAAATGACCACAAAGTCTATAAAATTTGAGGTATTTACTTAGTGCCCACTCTCTCCTAAGCACCAGTGATAAAAATATGAAACACCACACCTTGAAGATGTGAAATGTATCTGTTATTTCAATTCTGCATTTTCCTGATAATGAAAGAGATTGGTTTATCTTTTCATAAGTTATACATATTGGCCACTTCAGGGGACTTCTGCTGTGAATTACCTATTCATGTCCAATGTCAATTTTCTAGTGTATTATTTATCCTTTTCTTATTGATTTGCAGATGTCCTTTTTACATCCTAGAATCTAGATACTAGTTCTTTATCACATAAATCAAAAGACTAAATGGAAACGATTAAGTCTGTGAAGCTCAGTGTGGTGCATAGTGAGGAGCTTTCAGTTTTAAATGCCAAGCCTTGCAGTTTGGGGAAATTTTTCTGACATGGGCTGTGGGTCTTTGTTGACTCAAGTATCTTTGAAAACAGAAAAAAAATGAGAATGAGGTCTAATTCATAAAATTTATGGCCTGTATTATGCTGTTAAGAAAAAGAATTATCAAAAATAACAAAAAATAAATAAAAAGAAGAAAAGGAATTAGCATTCATGTATCTGGTCTACGTAATTTATTCATTGCATATATTCTTACTGGGTTCGGTATTTTTCTTTTTTGATTTTTAGAGTGAGAGAGAGAAATAATTGATTTATGCATTTATTGTCTGCCTCTTATATGTGCCCTAACCAGTGATCAAACCTTCAACATTGGGGCATCTGGACGATGCTCTAACCAACTGAGCCAGGGAATGCTTTTCATTTATAATACATGAATATTAATTTATGAGTTAAAACTCCATTTAACTTCATGTTAACATTTTTTCAGAGGAGGCCTTACACATTGCTATTCAATTGCCACAGTTATTTCCAAGTAAAGAACTGCTAATCCCATTCTCTTAACAGAAAGGGACACTAAAGCCCGGTGAGTGGGCAGGACTTGCCCAGCTCCATATTAGCAGGTACTAATCTAATTAGAACCTGTTTTCCTTACTTTCTCAGGTCACCGTGGGGTCTCAGCTTTGCCTGGGCTTCCTTCTCCCTTCCACACCATAGCTAACCATGCAATACGTGTGCAACAGATGCTCCTTTGGCAAAATAGGCCCTTCATCAGCCTAAGGACAGAGTGGAGTGGCCAGGCACTACACGGTAGGGGAGGCAGACAGCAGATGTAGCAGAAATCCTGTGTTGGTTCATGTAGAGCCCGATACAAACCATTGTTGGGGACGCTGTAAGTTTCATAAATGCTCCAGAACGGTTGGTGGTCCATACTAGCCTCCTGGTTCACAGGGAATATTCGCTAGTCGCTGAGTTCACCCTCAATGCAGGGTGAATAATTAAAGGATGGGAAATTAAGCAAGCAAATCAGTTCTCAACGACCAGCAAAGTGCTCACCAGGAGTCCCTAGGGGAAGCACAGGCGCCTAATTGGTCGTCCTCGGTTACACCGTCAATACCTACAAATGTTTCTAGCCTGCCCCTGGAGGTGGGGAGAACTGGAAATTCCTTTAGTTCCCTCAAAGGAAGGGGAAGGCGAGGCCTCGGTTTATTTTCCCATCTGTGAATCGGGGGCGCAACAATGTCGAAAGGACGTGCGCGGGTGAGCAGTCAAGGTGAGCGGCTTTCCCTCCTCCCTACCCCATCTTTTCCATGTCAGCTTCCAAGGATTAGGAATCTGACGATTAGAAAGTTTGTTCTTGGACGGCCAGAAGACCTCCGGCCGCTAACGTTCATGGGCTGCACTACTCAGGGCCGGAACGGTGCAGGCGCGAACGTGGTAGGCGCAAACATCCCCCAGTGCCCGGCTCCTCTCAACCTCCCGCTCCTCCTTCCTTCGACCCTCCAGCTTCCCTCCTCCTCCGCCAGTCCCGCCCCGCTCCTGCCCTCTCATTGGCCGAGCTGGCAAGCCGGGCCTTCCCGGGATTTAAAGGGCCCGCTCGCCGCGCTGCCCAGGGAGCCGCAACTGGTCCCGGCCTTGCGGCCTGCTGGGGAGGCTGCCGGGAGGAGGCGGCGACGGTGGCGGCGGCGGCGGTGAGTCCCCGGCCCCTGGGACCGCAGCTTCCTTCCTGCCAGGTAGGTCACAGGAATGCACGCGCGGCTCCTCCGCTCCCATCCTGAGCCGGCCTCCCCGCACTGGTCTGCAGCGCGTGTTCCGGGGTCCCCTCTCCATCACCTTTCAAACTCCCCCTCCTCCTTTACCCCCAACCACCACCACCACCTTTCTGAAGCCCCTGGGTCTGGGCAGGGCTTTGTTGCTGGCCAGGAGTGGCCGAGTGGGGGTGAGATGGGGCACGCTGGGGATACAGGACACCCGTCACGTCTGTACAAGGAGAGATGCACATGGCCCCCAAATGTCATAGGATCTCCCTATCTGCCCTCCACACAGAGTGACTCTACCTTGGAAACCAGAGGCCCCCCCATTTGCTATACCGGCCTGGAATGTACACCATTCATTCCCCCATTGGACCACGATTCCTCATAACATAGGAGAGATTCGAGTCCTTCATTCACCACAGGTCATGGGCTGTGTGTGTGCACTCAGGACACCCACACACACAGTTGGCGGCTCAGTCTGATGTACCTGACACTCATACCCTCCCCCAATACCTCAGTATCTTGTGTCTACATGGGTTGGACAGCCCCAAACTGAAGTCTATCCCTTGAGCATGGTCTGCCCCATGGACATCCCAGTTCTGTGTCCCCACTTTCACAGGTCCATCCATCTGTCCATCCATCCGTGGGGGGCTGCAATGGCCACCTTCAGCCGCCAGGAATTTTTCCAGCAGCTGCTGCAGGGCTGTCTCCTGCCTACTGCCCAGCAGGGCCTTGACCAGATCTGGCTGCTCCTTGCCATCTGCCTCGCCTGCCGCCTCTTCTGGAGGCTTGGTAAGTGCCTGCCACACTATGTACCACCATGCCAGTCCATATCACATCTGCCACATTCATCCATACCAAGCCACACCTTATTCTGCCACATCTTGCCATGCCAAGCGAGATGCCAACATGTCCAGTCCACCACATCCCACCAGGCTAGGCACCATTCTACCACACCACATCCTGCTACACCCAGCCACCCGATGCCACACCACACCAAGCCATGTCCAGCCATGCCAAGCCATGCCTTTCAGAATTCCTGCGTTCTAGGATTCTGGAGAGTTGAGGTTCTTGGATTTGGGGATCCCGAAGTGTCTACATCCCAAGGTTATAAGATTCTGGAATGCTGGTGTCAAAGGGTTATGGAATCCCAAAGTACCACATTACAGGATCTGGGGATCTGACAACTTGAAATTCTCACATTCTAGGCTTCCAAAATGCTGGCATTCTGGATTTCTAGAATCCGGGCAGGATGAGATTTCTGGATTCTGGGATTCTGGAATGTTTCCACAATCACAGCATGCCTATATCCAAATGATAAGATTCCAAGTTCCCAAGGTCCCTATAGGATGCTGAGAATTTTAGAAATCTGAAATTCAAAGGTTTTACACTTTCTTTTATTTTAAATGGATGTTTTGTTTTTCTTAGGTTTATCATTTTGAAATATTTCAGTTACTGAAGTTGAAAGAATAGTACAGTGAACACCCATATATGCACTACCAGATTCTCCAACTGTCAATATCTTCCCACTAATGCCCACTCTCTCTCTCTCTCTTTCTCTCTCTCTCTCTCTCTCCCTATCTATCATCTTCCTAAATTACTTGAATAACCTGCTGACACTTTACCCCAAATCCATCAGTGTGTGTCCCCAAAGAGTAAGGACATCTTCCACCAACAACCACAGCCTCAACCATCACCTCAAGAAATTTAATCTAGCCCTAGGTGGTGTGGCTCAGTGGACTGAGTGCCGACCTGCGAACCAATTGGTCACCGGTTCAATTCCCAATGTAAGGCACACGCCTGGGTTGCAGGCCAGGTCCCCAGCAGGGGGCGCACAAAATGCAACCACACATTGATGTTTCTCTCCCTTTCTTTCTCCCTCTCTTCCCCTCTCTAAAAATAAAATAAATAAAATCTTTTTTTAAAAAAAAACCAGTGTTTTAAAAAAAGAAATTTAATCTGGATGCAATAATATTACCCAATATAAGTTGATCCTCACATTTCTCCCAGGGTTTCCAAATAAATCCTTTATAGATATTTCTTTTCTTTAAACCCCGGTCTTGCCACCTCTCCAGCTCCCCAACACCTGCTTTGGGCCCCCTGCAATCCCACCACATTATAACCTCTAGACCTGTGCCCAGGCTGGGCTCTTTGCTCAGGTTGCCCTCCTTTCCTGTCAGCCCTCCCAACTTCCCTTTCTTGTTTTCTCTCCTTCTCTTACCTGAAGGGTTACCATCCTACCTGAAGCATGCAAGCACCGTGGCAGGCGGATTCTTCAGCCTCTACCACTTCTTCCAGCTACACATGGTTTGGGTTGTGCTGCTCAGCCTCCTGTGCTACCTCGTGCTGTTCCTCTGCCGACATTCCTCCCATCGCGGCGTCTTCCTCTCCGTCACCATTCTCATCTACCTGCTCATGGGGTATGGATGTGAGCCCTCATTCCCACACTGTTGGCAGAAGGGTGGGGCGGGGCCCCTGGCTGCTCCTTGTGAGGTTGTTCAGGACAGGAAGAGGGTGAGGTGTTCCTGGAGGAGGGAATGTGGGAGACTGGTTCTTTCTAAAGGCTGCACAGAACAGGCTGGGCTTTGAGCTCCCTCTGGAGGAGGGAGTCCTGGAGAATTATTCTTCCATGAGGTTGTGCAGGACGGGGGAAGGCATAACCCTCTGTGAACCTTGGTCCACCCTTTGTGGTCTCTGAGGCCGTGGGAGTCAGGGGCCCAAGAGTGCCACCTTTTCTCCTCAGTGAGATGCACATGGTGGACACCGTGACATGGCACAAGATGCGAGGTAGGAAGCCCTGGTCCTCTCACCTGCCCCAGCCCCCTGCCCCATTCTACAACTCCTAATTCCCCCAACCCTGTCTTTCCTTCCCCACTTTTGTCCCTCATCTGCCCACCCCACTGGACATGCAGGCCTCAGATTCCCTTTACATCTGTGTCTCTCTCTGCCACGCCTTTTCCCTCCTCTGTCTTTCCCATCCCATGTATGTGCCTGACTGTTGAAAAAGGGCATCTGCCAGTCCTGGGCCCACCTGCTCATCTGCCCATCTGACTCCATGTCTACCTTTCCACCCTTGAACTGCTCTTTTCCTACCACCCCTCACCTGGTGCTTGCCATCCCCCCATGCTGACCTGCTCTCTGCCCATTCACTTGACCATGGGCACCACACATAGGGGCCCAGATGATCGTGGCCATGAAGGCGGTGTCTCTGGGCTTCGACCTGGACCGGGGCGAGGTGGGTGCGGTGCCCTCACCTGTGGAGTTCATGGGCTACCTCTACTTCGTGGGCACCATCGTCTTTGGGCCCTGGATATCCTTCCACAGCTACCTACAGGCTGTCCAAGGTCGCCCGCTGGTGAGGTTCCGGGTGGACAGGTGGGCAGGGACTATGGGAGCCCCCACGGGGCAGTCTTCATGGAGCCTTGATCCCCACAGAGTCGCCGATGGCTACAGAAGGTGGCCCGGAGCCTGGCACTGGCCCTGCTATGCCTTGTGCTGTCCACCTGTGTGGGCCCTTACCTCTTCCCGTACTTCATCCCTCTTGATGGTGACCGCCTCCTTCGAAAGTGAGCACGGCCTTTGAGGCCTCTGCCCTGCAGAGAGGGGGTTGGGTAGGGACCTGGGGTCTCCCCAGCTCTGAGCCTGTCTCTTAATGCTTCTGTCTATCTTCTGTTACTACAGCAAGAAACGCAAAGCCAGGTAAATGAGGGCAGGTGCCGAGGGCGAGTGGGCTCGCTGGGGGGTTGGGGCACTCTCTGACCTCTGGGTTCTGTTAAGTCTGAGACCATCTGACCATCCTTCCCCATGACTGGACAGAGACTGAGTGTCCCTCTGTGGCTGTCGTCTGGCCAAGATTGGCTCTGTGACTCTGTGTATGACTGACACTGACACATACTGTGTATGAATATCCATCTCTTCTGCTGTTTCACCATTGGAAGCAAGTTACATGACTGTAACGGAGAGTGACAAGTATGTGTTGGTTGGCGATGCTGACTGACCTGTCTGTGACCCTGGCTAGGTGTGTGTATGGATTGTTTGTCCCTTAGCCACTGGCTCCCTATGCGGGACTGGAGTTCTGGCTGTCTGGCTGTGCCATTGTCCATGACGGAGTGTGTGGCTGTCACCGGGTAAGTCTGGCTGGTCTGTAACTCTGGCTGGGAATGGGTCTGACCGTAGCGTGGTATGTGCCTGTCTGTGATGGATTCTGCCTGCAGGTCTGCCTTTGCTGGCTGCATGGTATTGTGTAGCTGAGGAGTTGTGACCCACTGCGTGCCTGTGCCTGTGTGCAGCACTGACCATTGGCTTCTGATATGACTCTAGGGTTTCATCCGGCTGTTTGACTGTATGACCCCCCCTTCCTCCCGCACTCACTGGCCATTGATTGTGTCTGATGCCGAATGGGGCTCTGGAAGGTGGAGTGACTTGCCCAGTGTCACCCAGTTAAGCTGCCAGGCATTAATCCCAGGTCTGATTCCAGAACCGACCTTTTTTCCAATTTGGGACTCTGCCTGTTTTTTACTGTGTCTGTTGTATGACTGACAGGATGACTGTCTTGATGTAGACTTGTGTATGTGGCCATAGCAGGGTGCTTGATAATCTCTGTGCCTAACTATAGGACTTTTGTGTGTCTTATGGTCAGCGAATCAGGTTGGAGAGCCACGAGGCTGGGAGTCTGATAGTATTTCTGTCTGGCCAAGTAGCTGTGTCACAGTGTGGAGCTGTTAGGTCAGCCCTCTGACAGTGGCTGGGTCTGGATGTGTGACCATGTAGGACTGCAAGACTGTCATATTATAGGGCAGCTCACACATCCTTTTGAGTCCCATGAAACTGACAATGTATGTATGTGTGTAACTATCACACTGCACCTCTTTTTGCCACTGTGTTTCTGTCTTGTCTACAAACAATTCAGGCCAGCCTCCTGGGCCTCTGACTCTCTTTCCTTTCTTCTCTGCTGCCTTGCTGACCCCCGCGGGCCTTAGGGGCACCATGGTAAGGTGAGTCTGCAGAGTGGGGCCGGGGATGATGATACGTGGTGGTGTCATGCTAGGCCCTGGGCATGATGCCTCTTCCCCCTATTCCTTTCTCCCCAGGTGGCTGCGAGCCTACGAGAGTGCTGTCTCCTTCCACTTCAGCAACTATTTTGTGGGCTTCTTGTCCGAGGCCACGACCACATTGGCGGGAGCTGGCTTCACCGAGGAGAAGGATCACCTGGAATGGTGGGGAGGGCTGGGGGCCAGCCTCTCCCACAGGGTGCCGCCTAGAGGAGCTTGCAGGGAGGGGGTGCTCCCATGGGAGGAAATAGCCAAGACAAGTGTGGCAGTCAGCTAGGCTGAGATACCAGATATATTTGTATTTCTTTTGCTCTCAGGGACCTGACGGTGTCCAAGCCACTGAATGTGGAGCTGCCTCGGTCCATGGTGGAAGTTGTCACAAGCTGGAACCTGCCCATGTCTTATTGGCTAAATAACTGTGAGTCACCAAGTCACCACACCAAGAATGGGAAGTCCTTACCTCAGGCCCTTTCACATATCCATACAACAAACATTTACTGAGAACCTATTGTGTGTTAAGCACTGAAGGTACTGCAGGGACCAAAGAACAAACAAACAAAAAACAAAAAACAAAAACAAACAAAAACAAACAACACCCCAAATCCCTGCCCTTGTGGAATTGGCATTTTTGTAGGGGGAGCAGGTAATAAGAGAAAATATACACAGTAGTTCAGATGGTGACAAGTGCTGTGGTAAAAAAAAAAATAACAAAGCAGGAAAGAATGATTTGGGAGTATTGCCAGTTGGGGGTAGGAGGTTGCCATTTAACATAAAATTAGCCAGAGCCAGTCCCAGGGAGGAGGTGGCATTTAAGACTTGAAGAAGGTGAGAGAGCAAGCAATTTGAATATGTGGGAGAGGAGTGTAACAGATGGAAGGGACATCCAATGCAAAAACCCTGAGAGAGAGCCAAGGAGGCCAGTGGTAGGAGGTGAGGTCAGAGAGGTTGGTGACAGAGGCCTGGTCTGTGGGGCCTCACTGGCCATGGGGCAGACTTTGGCTTTTTCTGTGAGAGCGGGAGCCACAGCATGGGTCTGAGCAGAGGAGGGCCTTGGGCTCATTTGAGTTGTAATAAGACCCACTGGCTGTCGTGAGGACAGATGGGGAGGAGATGAAGACAAAAGCAGTGAGGCCACTGCAGCAGTCTAGGCCTGGGGTGGTGGTGAGCAGCAGTGGACGGGGAAAGAAGAGGTTGGATTCTGAATAAATTCTGATCATGACGCTGACAGGATTGGCTGAGTTTGGTTGTGAGAGTGGGGAGGACAGATCAAGGGTGATTCTCAAGTTTTTGTCCTGAGGAACGCGAAGGGTGGAGTTGACTCTGGCTAAACTTGGGAACACTGTGGGGGGATCAGGTTGGGAGGAAAGTCCAGGAGCTAAGTTTTGGACATATGAAGTATGAGACCATTATGAAGACTTTATCCTGGGGCTTCCAACATGTTGTGTGTATCCTCACCCTGCCTTACGGCCCCCCCCCCCAGGAAGGGCAGGAGGGAATCTTGGGAGACTCCTGACCCGCATCACCCTCTTCCAGATGTTTTCAAGAATGCTCTTCGCCTGGGGACCTTCTCAGCTGTGCTGGTCACCTATGCAGCCAGCGCCCTCCTGCACGTGAGCAGGGTGAAGTAGGATTAGGGTGGAAGATGGGTGGGGGGTAGCAGGGCCTCCTCTTCACTCACCTCATTGCCCCCTGGGGCCCCACCAGGGCTTCAGCTTCCACCTGGCTGCGGTGCTACTGTCCCTGGCATTTATCACTTATGTGGAGCATGGTGAGTACAGAACCCAGCCTAGCAGACAGGAGGGAAGATTGGTTGGGGGCTGGAACCACTGTCCCCTGAGGCTAACGTGACCCCCTAACCTCCCCCCTCCCATCAATCCCAGTCCTCCGGAAGCGCCTGGCTCGGATCCTCAGTGCCTGCGTCTTGTCGAAACGGTGCCCACCAGACTGTTCACACCAGCATCGCTTGGTGAGAGTTCAGCCTGGGCAACCTCAAGCCCAACACTCCCCATCAAAAATGTCACTTCTGCCTCCATCTTATATCTGCCTCAGGGTGCCCAGCTTCCTCTGGTGCCTGAGCCATCCCCAGAACGTCATCTCTCTTCACTGCCACCTGTCTCTCTAACAGATGTTTATCAAGCACCTGCTGTATACACACCAGGCATTCATGTCCCCAGTGAACATTTATTGATCACCCTCTGGTACCAGGACTGTTTTAGATGCTGGAGATACAATGGCGAACAAAACAGACTATAAAATTCCAGTCCTCTGGGACAAACAGTTTAACAGGAGAGACAGTAAATAAAAAATAAGTCAGTAAAGCATAATAGTTTGTTAGGCTGCAATTAGTGTCAAGGAGGAAATACGTAAGGGAAAGGAGAAGGGAAGTATCAGAGGTAAGTGGATTCAATTTTAAACAGGGAGGTGCCTTTGAGTACTTTAGCTGAAGGAGGTGAGGGACAGAAGCATTCCAGGCAAAGGGAAGAACCAGCGTAAGGGCCCTGAGATGGGGGTGGGCCTGGAATATCTGAGGAACAGCAAGGAGGCCAGTGTGGCCTGAGCAAAGTGAGCAGGGAGGAGAATGGTACGCCCTTAGGATGTGGTGGGGATTTGCTTTCGTTTGCTTGTTTGTTTGTATGTTTTATTCTGTTTGCAATAAGACGTACAGACAACCTCAGATTTGCCTCCCATCTGACAACTGATGTTTATTACCATAAGCCACCAACTCAGAGCTCCACCATTCTGCCTCCTTTCCCTGAATACTCACATCTCCCTCAACCTGGATGCCCTCAATGCTAACAATACCCTCATCCCTGGATACCTCTTGAGCTCCCACAGGAGGAACCGAGCCATCTCTTTCCTACCCCTGGGGTGCTGTGGATATTCTCATTCCTGGAATCCACTGCACTTTGTGCATCTCCCTGGGCTCCCCTGTCCAGGTGGTACTGAGAGACATTGAGTTGGTCCAGCTGCCAAGCAAATCCATCTGTCCCCCAACAGGGCCTAGGGGTACGAGCCTTAAACCTGCTCTTTGGGGCCCTGGCCATCTTCCACCTGGCCTACCTGGGCTCCCTGTTCGATGTCGATGTGGATGATACCACAGAGGAGCAGGTGAGATGGGACCCTGGGTTGGGGGTACCCAGGGATGTGCTACCTGCTCATGGGAACCATGAGGACAAAGTGGGGCGGGGAGGGTGAGGCATGAGGACTTTGGGCGGTGTCTCTACCTTGTGTAGCCAGTGCTCCTTGGTCTTTCTTCTTTCCCATTGTCCCTCTGGTTGATTCACATTGCTGGGTCTTTTATTTGAGTGAAGTGTGCAAAATATGTTTATTTTACTTGTAAGATTTATTTTATAGAGATGAAGTGTAAAATCCAGCTTTTACTTTTTCTCAATTAGTCATTTTATCATATTTTTGTTTAGATAGAATTTGCAAGATTTCTTTCTTATTTAGTTTTTTAGATATCTTTACTCAGGTTGAGTTTACAAACTCTGGATTTTACTTTAAAAATGTATATTAACATGTATATACTATTTTGTGGCCTGGCTGGTGTGGCTCAGTGGATTGAGTGCTGGTCTGTGAACCAAAGAGGGTCACTGGTTTGATTCTCAGTCAGGGCACATGCCTGAGCTGAGGGCCGGGTCCCCAGTTCGGGGCGTGCAAGAGGCAACCAATGGATGTAACTCTTGCACATTAATGTTTCTCTCCCATCTCCTGCTCCCTCCCTTCCCCTCTCTCTAAAAATAAGTAAATAAAATCTTTAAAATATATATACTATTTTTATTTTTATTCATGTGGAGTATGCACATTCCAGATTTTACTCCTTTTTAAATGAAAAACTATTTTAAAAATAATGTTTATTCATATGGCTCTTGCAGGATCCAGGTTCTGTTTCTCTTTTTTGTTCTTGTTGTTTCTCTTTTAAACTTTTAATTAAAAATAAAACTTATTTTATATCATTTTTATCATTAAAAACAATTTTTAAAAGATTTTATTTATTTCTTAGAGAGAGGAGAAAGGAAGGAGAAAAGGAGGGAGAGAAACACTGATATGTAAGAAACATCAATAGGTTGCCTCTCACATGCCCAGTACTGGGGACCCTGCTTACACCCCAGGCATGTGCCCCAACTGGGAACTGAACCAGTGACCCCTCGGTTCACAGGCTGGTGCCCAGCGCACTGAGCCACACCAGCCAGGGATTATTAAAAATAATTTTTCACTTTTATTCAGGTTGACTGTGCAAAATCTGGGTTTTGCTTCCTTTTAAATAAAATTTTTATCTTATTTTAATTAAAACATTTAAAAATAGTTAATGTATATCACAAGGTTCAAAAAACAAAACAGTATTCAGGGTAGTCAAGGGAAAGTCTTGCTCCTACCATCTACTCACTGCCCTCTTACAGGTAACCACTTTCATTCATTTATTAAAATATCCTTAAATTTAAGCATAATAAGCAAATATAAAAATATATTTTCATTCCCTCCCCCCGGTTTTTACCCTAGAGGTATCTCATGAATGCTACTGTGCTACCTGTCTTTTTAGTATATAAATCCTTGAAAACCCTTCCACATTAGAACATAAAGTGTCCTCACTCATTATTTCCATTGTAAGGATATGACAAAGTGTAGTTTGTCCCTTACCAGTGCACATCCAGGTGATTTCCAGTCCCTTCCTACTGCAAATGACAGTGCAGCAACTAATATCCTTGTAGCCATAGTCATGTGGATTCACATTCACACAGGTGAAGACAGAACGGTAGGATCTGTTCTTGGTAATCAAAATGGAGAAGTTACCTCCCACCAGCAGTATGTGAACGTGTCTGTCACCTCACCAACAGAGTGTATCTCAGACTACCTGGATGTGTTTGCCAGTTTGACAGGAGGAAGATTATGAGTGAAGCCATATGTTTAAGAGCCATTTGGGGTTTTTTTTTTTCTTATACTGAGAATGGCCTACTTACCTCCTTTGCCAATTTTTGTCCTTTTTTAAAAGATTTTATTTATTTTTAGTTTTTAAAAAGGTTTTTATTTATTTTTAGAGGGGACGGGAGGGAGAAAGAGAGGAAAATATCAATGTGTGGTTGCCATCTCGTGCACCCCCTACTGGGAACCTGGCCCGCTACCCAGGCATGTGCCCTGACTGGAAATCGAACCAACAACCCTTTGGTTCACAGGTCGGCACTCAATCCACTGACCCACACCAGCCAGGGCCTATTTTTGTCCTTTTTAAAAAATTAATTTCTACGGGTTCCTTTTCTTTTTTTTTCTTAGAGGAGAAAGAGGGAGAGAAACATCAATGTGTGGTTGCATCTCGTTCACCCCTTTCTGGGGACCTGGCCCACAACCCAGGCATATGCCCTACACTGGGAGTCGAACTGGCGACCCTTTGCTTTGCAGGCCAGCGCTCAATCCACTGAGCCACACCAGCTAGGGCTTAATGGGTTCTTTACCTATAAGGGAGACTACAAGTCAGAGAGTGAGGCTGTCTTGCCTAGTTTTTTAAATGGTTTTTAAAGAAAACAAAAGAAAAAAACTAAATCTGCTTACCTTTTATATGTACCCAGTCTCTTCTCTGGGGCCTCACCTATGGTTACCATGGAGTCACAGAAATGGCCTTCAGCAAAGGATGGGTTTTCCTGAGGCCTTCTTTGTTCTTGTTGAATGGGACCATCACCTCTTTCTCTCCCACAGGGCTATGGCATGGCATATACTGTCCACAAGTGGTCAGAGCTCAGCTGGGCCAGTCACTGGGTCACTTTTGGATGCTGGATATTCTACCGTCTCATAGCCTGAGGCACATCTGTGGACACTTCCAGCTCCCTCAAGACCCCTCTTCAGGGTGCCAGCTCTGATGGAGGATGAGGGAAAACTCTCTCTCTAGTTCTTGACCCCTCTCATTCATAGACCCCCCTCAACACCTCTACGCGCGCACACGCGCGCGCGCGCGCACACACACACACACACACACACACACACCGGATTTCCATGCCTGCTGATCCCCACCCCGTCACAAGGTGGAAGGGGGGTAGGCCCTGCTGGGGCCTAGGGGTGGGGGATGCTTGGAGAAGCAGAATGGAAAAGATACACGGCCTCCCCACCTTCGTACTCCCTTTTTATATACAGTTTGTTATTGTCAAATAAAAGTAGGAAATATACAAAAGACTCTTTCTTCACTGCTCAGTGGGGAATAGAAGTGAGTGAGGAAAGGGGCACAGCATGGATAAAGGTTTGGAAGCTGGACATCATGAAGAGGGAGCAGGTTGTGATTAGATTAGTTCATGGCTAATTTACTATTGTTCATGATTGGATGATGAACCTGAGGATGGCACCGCTTGATTTGAGTGGGGCCTGGACAAATTAGATAGTTGCATATGGGGTAGGCCTGATACCAATTGGCTGGAAAACTGAAGGATCCCCATTCTGATTGGTTTCTCTGACTGAGATAGAAAGAATGGAAAGCAAGACAGAGTTGATGTTTACTGATCCTTAGGACTGAGGGTTGTGAGTTGTAATTGGCTAGGAGGTCTGGGATGAGTCTGAATTCTGACTGATTATGCGATCTGGGTACCCACTGGCTTAGAGTTGTGGAGTTCCGATTTGTTCTTGAGAGCTGGCATAGGGAGACTGAGGGTCTCCATGTCAACTGGCCCTCAAGGAGCTTTTTCTCACTTTAAGTCGAAAGAGGTGAAGATGGCTGTTAAGGGGTCCTGAACGCTAAGGTAGAGGATGGAGGCGTACTGTACAGGATGTGATCTTCGTATTGTTTTATTGCGCATTCGCGCGTTAAGACTGAAGGTTTGTCTGGAAATTAATTGGTCTGTTTAGAAAATGAGGGCAAAGTTGAGAGGACGCAACGCAATGCTGATTCAACAGCAGACGATGAGGATGACTACCCACTTTCCCAGATGACTGACTGATAAAGGGATAGGAAAATTGAAGCCAAGACTAGCTGCAGACAGGAAACGCCTACGAACCTCGGCAGTTCCTGACTTCAACCACCTCCTGACTCCGGCTCAGCCAACAGCGAAAATGGCACCATGCTTGAGGGCGGATCCGGCGGCACACGGAGAGCTCCTATTGGTTGGGGGCGACACGGGCCGCCTTCCCAACCCCTCCATTGGCCAACTCCGTAAGACAAGAAAACTAAAGAAATAGGTTTGAACTAGATCTGTAACAGAGCCCACAAGACAGCCTCAAAAAAGGCAGGAACCTGTAGGAGAGACCGCTGCCACCGCGCCACAGGGTGAGTGCCCCCGCGCCTGGGCTGCCACTCCATCCCCTAGCTCTCCGGTGCTAAATGGCCAGCCCCTAGGCGCGTCGGTGCGAGACCCTTCCCTCCCACACCGCCACCCTACCAACCACCCCCAGGCGCCTGCGCGATACCGCCCCACCTCCGCTACAGCGTGGTTGTCCGAACTACAGAAGGTCCTCCTTCTCATTGGGCAGCGGGACTAGAGGGTTCTAGTTTTAATTGGTGGTCTCTGTATTTAACTCTCCTTTTTCCCCTATAAGCGCCGCGCGCGCTAGACCTGTGCCTCCCACTTTCCCTTTTCTTGCAGGTTAAAGGTGGTGTAAGCTATTGCGGGAAGCATCTGGCTTTCCACACATTTTATGAGGGTTGTTCTTCTCGTTAGTCTTCTCTCTTCTGTCCTGCCGCAGAAAGGGAATAGCTATCCGCTGAACGAGGCAAGACACGGACCCACTCCAATGGGACCGAACCTGGTGTCTGTGTCTCCGCGAGCACTGTAACCCCCTGAGGGCAAGGACCCGGCCAAGTTCCTGTGTCTTTCTAGCTGACACTGACCCCTGATGGCAGAGAACTGGTCTGATTACTGTGTCTATCACATACGGCTCCCAGAGGACAGGAACAAGATTTCAGTCTTCCTGTGGCCTTATAGTCATGCTTTTAAAACAGCATATAATTATATTTTGTTTTTAGTCCAGTTTTACAAGTTATTAACTGATAAATTTAATCCATTTGTATTTCTTGTGAGAATAAACCATTTGGATTTGATTTTATGATCTCATTCTGTGCTTTCTATTTAAGGTTTTTCTCTTCCGTTTTTCTTCTTTCTACTTATCCACACAAAGCCTTCAGCCAACAAAGAAATGGCCACCAATGCTAGCCCCTTGCACCCATACTGGCCTCGGCACCTGAGACTGGACAACTTTGTGCCTAATGACTGCCCTACCTGGCATATACTGGCTGGCCTCTTCTCCGCCTCTGGGGTCTTAGTTGTGACCACATGGCTGTTGTCAGGACGTGCTGCCGTCATCCCACTGGGGACCTGGAGGAGACTGTCCCTTTGCTGGTTTGCAGTGTGTGGGTTCATTCACATGGTGATTGAGGGCTGGTTCAGTCTCTACCACGAGGACCTTCTTGGAGACCAAGCCTTCTTGTCCCAACTCTGTGAGTCCTGAGTTCTTTCATGTACTATGGGAGGAAATTTTCCGAGCAGGGATTGGCTTAAATGTTTACTACCAATCCTTTTATTAATTTGTTTAAAAATTTAACTTTGTTGTCGCATATACATTCACATGGGTCAAAAAACAAACCACTTTAAGAGGTATGTAGTGAAAATCTACCTTCTGTCCACCGGGTTTTGCTAATTATTAACCACTATTAAGAATTGTTTGTTTTCTTCCAAGGTTTATTTACACATAAGTTACACAGAGAAGCCTCAGTTTGCTCAATTGTAAAAGGGGGATAATAATAATACCCAAATATATGTAAGGCACTTAGAACAGTGTTTGGCAAACAGTAGATGCCATATAACTGTTTATTATTATTATCATTGTTTTTATTTTTCCCTTTTGTGTAAACAAATGATAACATGCTATATACACTTCAGAACTTGGCTTTTTTAAACCAGGTCACTCCTCATTAGTTCATAAAGAGCTTTCAAAGTATAGCTGTTACAAAATTATTTGACTTGTCTAGTATTGGTGGGCATTTCCCCCAGTCTTTTACTATTATAAGCAATACTCCTTTTTGGCCTCATGAAGAAAAGTGCTATGAACATTGTTATACAAGTCTTTGTGTGGAGATCTGCTTTCATTTCTCTTGTGTAAATATGGAGAAGGGGCTGGATTGTATGGTAGATGTATGTTTAACTTTATGAAAAACTGCCAAACTGTTTTCAAAAATGGCTGTATCATTTTATATTCTCACCAGCAGCATAAGAGAGTTCTACACTGTCACTGACACTTGGTATGATCAGGTGTTTCTTAAATTGTAGTCCTTCTAGTAGATATGAGTGATAGCTCATTATGTGGTTTTAATTTGCTTTTACTTAATGACCATTTAGATATCCTCTTTAGTGAAGAACATACTCCAGTCTCCTGCCTGTTTTTATATTGTGTGATCTGCCTTTTTCTCGCTGATTTTCTGTTCACTCTTTCATTCGTTCATCTGTTACCTTCATTTTCTCTCTCTCTCCCTCCCTCCCTCTTTTCCTCCCGCCTCCCCTTTCTCATTGGCTGCTTCATTCACTCCATCATCTATACCTGCTTCCTTTTATTCTACAGGTATTTATCGAATACCAATCACAGAAACACTTACCATTCTGTGTTAGGTTTGCACACATTATCTTGTACATATATATTAACTCTAAAATCCAAACAGCTACCCCATTTTCAGATGAGGAAATAGAGACATGGAGAGGTTGTAAAGCCTGCCTTATTACATGGGCCCTCAGTTCCTTTTCCTGCCTTTATTCTTCATGTAAGTCTCTTGTCTTTTTCAGGGAAAGAGTATGCTAAGGGAGACAGCCGATACATTCTGTAAGTATTTGCCTCTATCAGGGGAGACCTGAATTGGTTTGGCGTGGCGGTGAGTCAGGGAGCACTAACGGGGTGCCCTGTGGTTAGAGCACAGCGATGCCAATGTTGCCCCATCCTCTCTCCCACAGGAATGACAACTTCACGATATGCATGGAGACTATCACAGCTTGGCTGTGGGGACCGCTCAGCATTTGGGTGGTGGTCGCCTTTCTCCGCCAGCAGCCTCTCCGCTTTGTCCTACAGCTCGTGGTCTCTGTGGGTAAGGAGGCGGCCTACACCTGGTGCTAGATGGATTATTGGGGATACACAGACACAGGTGGCGTCCATGTTAGTGGGATCTCTCAGTTGTGCCCATCCAAGGCTGAGTCCACCTGCATGACACATTCCTTGAAGTTCAGAACACCCGTGCCGCTCTCAGCCTGTCTTCTCAAGCAGGAAGTGTTCATTTCTCCTCCTCCTCTATCACAAAGTCTCCTGTGAAGGTTACATGAGGTGGCCCATGCTGGCAGGGAGCCCTTTGGTCCCCTGGACTTAGGATTTTGAGCCTCTTTCATCTGAGATCCAGTCCTCTTGTGTTCTTAAATTGTTAACTTTCTTTAGTTCTAAAAAATGTGAGTTCTCTTTAGTCCTGGAATCCTGAGCTGTCTTGAATTAAAGGATTTTGAGCTTCCTTAAATTCTGGAAATATGAACTCTGTGGTTTCTGAAATTCTCGGCTTCCGATTTCTGGAATTCTCACTTTTCTGATTTTTCAATTTTGCAGCTATATGATTTCAGAATTCTTAGCTTTCTGAATATGGGGATCCTAAGCTCTGAGACCGCGAATGGTGACTTGGAAAATGCTTTGGAATAGCTCCTCCTCCTCACAGGGTTTACCCCTTTCCCTTCCACCTCCCACAGGTCAGATCTACGGGGATGTGCTCTACTTCCTGACGGAGCACCGCGATGGATTCCAGCATGGGGAGCTGGGCCACCCGCTTCACTTCTGGTTCTACTTTGTTTTCATGAATACCCTGTGGCTGGTGGTGCCCGGAATCCTCGTGTTCGATTCTGTGAAGCAGCTCACCCGTGCCCAGAGCCTGCTGGATGCCAAAGCCACAAAAGCCAAGAGCAAGTAGAACTAATGAGGGATGGCTTAGGCTTGAACACTGGCTGATCACAAACCCTCCACCTGCCAAAAGAGTCCAATCCTTGCTCCCACTGGTGGAAAGGACAAAGTGAATCGATCTCTCAAACTCAGGCTGATGGTCAGGCACCAAAAGGGCCAGAAATGGGGAAGAAAGGAGCTGTATGGAGCTACTGCGAGGAGCTGTTGGGACAAAAGTCCAAGAGAACCTAAGAGGTTTGCAGTGGTGGCAACTTTTAAAACCAAGTAATAAAAGGCCTTGACCCTAACACTGAGAGATCTTTAATTACTGACGCCAAAGATGGCCCATAACTGACCCCACAGATCCCTCCATCACTCACTCTTTCCACAGACCACCATTCTCTCAGCCATAGATCCCCATCCTAACCACACAGATCTTCAGTCACATAGACCTCACAAATCTCCATCACTAACCCCAGAGTTTCCCATGATGGCTGATTATATTCATGAGTCACACACCTGCAATCTCTTTTAAGGCGTGATCTACCCACACCCTTGGTGTTCTCTCCAGAACACACTTTCTCATTCTTTGCAATAGGGGCAGGCTGAGAATTTTCCAAATCTTCAAGTTCTTGAATTTACTGTGCCTCTTGTCTCCTGATTAGGTACCCCGCAGACACCCTATCTTTCATCTCACAGCCACCCTGTTAACTCCAAAGACCCTCATCACTGACCCCACAGACTCACCCATCACTCACCTTAAAGACCCTATCATTTAACCAAGAGACCCCAGAGGCCCTCCCATTACTCACCTCATATACCCCATCATTATGTCTTAAAACACCTATTACTCTCCCACACCAGCCTTTCATTTGCTCCACAGAGCACCCATCATTCACCTCACAAACCTCTATCACTCACACCACAGACCCCAGTTACCTTGTACATTTTCCATCATTTACCCCACATCCTATCACTTATTCCACAAATTCCCATCATTCACCCCACAGATAACCCTCATCATTCATCTCACAGTCTCTGTCATTAACCTCATAGACCTTCAGTCATGAAACAAATGGGTACTTGAGGAATTTCGAGGAGGTCACAAAGAATAAGTAATAAAACTACAGATATCTGTATGCTGGCTCTAGGTGACCTGTGCAGAGCAGGCCAGTCTTGGTTGTGCTTAAACCTACAACGTAACTTTTGAGAAATGCCTCATTATTAAGGCCAAAGCCATGAGTTATTACCTCACCTAGTATCCATCACTTAATTAAGGTATGCTTGCCTTCTTGCTCTTCCTCAAACATGCCAGGCATAGCCCCACCTTCCATTCATTATACTGTCTACTCTCTGTGCCACTGACTACCCCTTTGACCTTGAGCATATTTCTTCCTGCTTCACTGCTTTCATCTGTACGATGCTACCTCATAGGGTTTTTATGCAGATTAAATGAATTAATATATGTAGACTAACTGACGTACAATATGCGTTTGTTGAATGGAAGAATAAATCAATGAAAGAAAAAGTTCTCCCCAGGACATGGTAATTTTTGGTCTCCTTGTTTCCATTATCTTTCCATCCAAGGCTCTCTCCACAACCAAGACGGAGGCTTCTGACCACATCATACCCACATCTAAAACCTGTGCTCTGGTGCCCTCAGGATAAACTCCAAGCTCCAGGCTAATGTTTTGCTCATCCCACCCTATGATAATTTTAATAAAAAGCAGGCTCTCAAACTCCTTGTTTCCATTAAAAAAAAATCCAAAAGTATTTTTTGACTACAGCACATGAGGCAAGAGAATTGTGCCAATAACCCGCTTCCAGTTTTAGAAGAAGTTCCCCATTATTTACATGTTCCAGAAAATAGATATCAATTTACTATGAATATTAAGGCAACAATGTATTTTAAAAGATACCAAAATAGAATTGCAATGTTCTTTAAAAAGTTAATGTTGCTCTGGCTGGTGTGGCTCAGTGGATTGAGTGCAGGCCTGCAAAATCAAAGAGTCACCAGTTCGATTCCCAATCACAGCACATGCCTGGGTTGTGGGCCAGGTCCCCAGTAGGGGGCACACAAGGGGCAACCACACATTGATGCTTCTCTCCCTTTTTCTCCTTCCCTCTCTAAAAATAAATAAAATCTTTTTAAAATTAAAAAAATGAAAAGTTAACGTTAAAGGTGTCGTGCATACAACACTGCAGCAATAACTGAAGTGCAGGCATCATACAGGACACCTTTTTTAATTTATTCATTTTTAGAGGGAGGGGAAGGGAAGGAGAAAGAGGAGAGAAATATCAGTGTGTGAGAGATATATTGATTGGTTGCCTCTCCCATATCCCCAAATGGGGACCTGGCCAGCAATCCAGGCATGTGCCCTGACTGGGAATGGAACCGGCGACCTTTCGCTTCGCAGGCCGCCGCTCAATCCACTGAGCCACACCAACTAGGGAACTTGTTAGAAATTACATTTTAAGAAAAAGGGAAAAGTGAAAAAAAAAAGAGAAAACAACAACAAAAAGAGATTACATTTGCAAGGGTATTTTCCCAAACCATATAGATGCGCACTGAAGTAAGGAGAATGCCTTTTTGCATTTTTCCATAAAGTTTCTCGAAGGAGTCTCAAATATGTTCAGTCGTTCAGACTACATTTAGTGGACACACACCATTTACTAACAGGACCAACCTCGACATACTCTCCTTGAGGATTAAATAAAACGAAGGCCAACTTTGCTCTGGCTGTTGTGGTTCAACAGATTGAGCACTGGCATGTGGACCAAAAGATCACCTGTTCAATTCCAGGTCCAGGGACATGCCTGGGCTGCCATCCAGATCCTCCGCTGGAGGTGTGCGAGATGGGCAACCAATCCTATATATTTCTTGTGCATTGCTGTTTCTCTCCTCTTTCTCCCTCCCTTCCCCTCTTTCTAAAAGTAAATAAGATCTTCTAAAAATTGAAAAAAAAAAGATTCTGGAAAAGGGATTATTTTTCCGTTCAACTGATTCATTTCAAGAGAGGGCCACAGCATTTGAAATAGATGACATCATTTGTAACTGAGGCACGAGGCAAGTTGGTGCAGGCTGTGCTAGGATTTGACGTCATCGCGCAGCGGCTTCCTTCCCCACCCTACCCCTCACTTCTCTCACTCCAATAGGTCATCACTTTAATACTAACTAGGAGAATGCGGAAATAAACTGCCCAAACAAATAAATCGCGACACGGGAAGGCGGGGTCTCATTGTGCGCCTGCGCACTGGCTGAAGTGAGGCACCTGCCCCACTTTGGGGGGCGGGGTTTCTGGCTACTGTACTCTATACGCACGCGCAGAGGCGACCTCCACTCTGCCAGGTGGGAGGGGCGGTGGTAGGGGTTGCTAGGGTCGCGGAGCGCCCTTTGCGCCTGCGCCCGGGCGCAAGGTGGGGCTGCGGGAGCCGCACTCTGGAGTGCACGCAGGAGTGGGGAGGCAACTGTCACCTGTCACCCTAAAGGGGGTGGCGGCGGGATGGCGACGGCCTCTGCGTCCTCGGACTTGGCCGGCTCTGGAGCGCCCTCACCTGGCGGGGGAGTCCAAGCGGCAGTGGCTGAGGAGGAGGAGCGAGAGGTGGTACGGGTCCGAGTCAAGGTGAGGTTGGCTGACGCTCAACCAGACTGCCCAGGGTTCCCAGGGGAGGAGAAGGTGATGGCTGTACCAGGATGGAGGGCGGGACCTGAGATTTGGGGTGTTACCTGAGGGGCGAGGCTTGAGGGCCTAGTGATGGTGGCAGGGGTTGGATTAGGCTGGACCTGGGAATACAGGGCAGGGCTGGAAGGTGTGGAGACGTAAGGGCCTATGGAGCGGATGAGTGGAGATCGTGGGTAGAGAAGAGAGGCTATAGGGATGGAGGAGGGCCCTTAATAGTTGAGGAGTGAGGCCCTGAGCAATGGGTGGGGGTGGGGGTGCTGTCTGAAAAGGAGGCACCAAAGTCAGTTAACATGTGTTGAGAGTGCACTTTTCTTCAAGTCCCTACCTGGATGAGCTGACAGTTCGTGGAGGAGATGAACAGCTAAATAAATGAGATGCTTCAGACACTGGTGAATGTCATGAGAAAATAATAAAAAAAGGTCCTGAACAAGGGTGTTACTTTAGCCAAGGTTGTATAGGGAAATTCCCAGAGAGGTATTTAAGGAGCAGAGACCGGAATTAAAAGGAATCAGTGTGTGCCTATTGGGGGGAGTGTTCTAGGTAGAGGGAATAGCAAGGGCAAAGGCTGGGAGGTGTGGATGAGCTTGGCATGTGCTCTTAGGTTCCCTTATTGCTGGAGCCAAGAGAGTGAGGGAAAGAGTGGATGAAGGTGAATCACAGAGGTGAGAGAGGGGCAGATTGTGAAGGGCCTTTGGTGTGTACTCTGAGTAAGAAAGCTGTTGCCCTAGTTCCAACAAGCAGTGATGGTGAGTCGGAGTAGGGTAGTGGCACTGGTGGTGCTAAGAAAAGCATAGATTCTGGAGAGAAGTAAGCGGATCACTTCAGTGGACTAGAGGAAGCTCTAAGGTAGAGGTTTGCGTGTTCAGAAAAGAGATGATACCTGAGCTGTGAGTGGACCACTTGAAGAAAATGGGAAGGACCTTCCAGACAGCAGAATCAGCACAAGTAAAGGCCTGAAGCCAAGGTGTGTTCAGAGTAACTTACAGCAGTTTGGTAGTACCAGCGTGTAAAGTTTAAAAAACCTGACAGGAGACAGGCTGGCCGCGGTCCTATAGGCCCACCTGTTGGGGACCCTTTCAAGATATTTAAGCAGGAGAGTGCTGCTGTAGCTTGATGTGTTAGATTGGTTGCAGCATGGGGAACTGATTTAATAAAGGTCAGACTGAACATCATGATCCTGGCAACCATCGTTGAAGGAATATAGAAAAAGGACTGAGTGCCTGGAATACTGCAGGAGCCCCCTCCTCACTAGACCGCTGCTTTCTCCCTTGCCTTCTACTCTGTTCTAGGCAGAGCAGCCAGAAGGACCCTGTAAATCTTAAGTCAGAGCACATCCTTCCTTGCTCAGAATCCTCCCAATGCTCCCACCTTGCTCAGAGCAAAAACTAGAGTCACCATCATCTAGAATGCCCGCCTTGATATGGCCCCTGCCACTTCTCTTACCTTGCCTGCTACTGCTCACTACGCTTCAGCATGATGATATGGCTCCTGATGGCCTACCCCGTGTCTTCTCTCTCCAGAAATGTGAGAGCTTCTTGCCACCTGAGTTCCGCTCTTTTGCCGTTGACCCCCAGATCACCTCACTAGATGTGTTACAACATATCCTCATCCGAGCGTTTGACTTGAATGGGTGAGTAATAGGATGCTGGTGACCGACCAGTGGACTACCCATCTCAACAGCAGTTGTTTGGCTTTTTTCGTGATTGTTGTTTGGTAGGTTATTTGTTTGTTTTATTACTGTAAAGAAACCCATGGTGAACGGCCATATATGCATATGTTGGAGCATTTGAGGAAATCAGGTCATGGATTAAAGGGTGTATGCTTTTTATTTTTTTCTTACTTTTTTCAAAGATCTTATTTATTTATTTTTAGAGAGATGGGAAGGGACAGAGAAAGAGAGGGAGAGAAACATCAATGTGTAAGGGAAACATCAGTTGGTTGCCTCTTACATGCCCCAAACTGGGAACTTGGCCTGCAACCCAGGCAAGTGCCCTGACCAGTGATTCCCTCCCCCCGACCCAGTTGGCAGGCTGGCATTCAGTCCACTGAACCACACCAGCTAGCGTGGGTCTATGCTTTTAAAAATTTCAACGTATGTTTCCAAAATGCTCTCCAGACAGGTTTTACCAATTTACAATCTCACTAGCAGCATATAAAATATGTTTCCCTCACACCCTCACAAACACTGATTAATAGAAAACACTGGCAATGTTGCCAACCTGATAGATGAAAAGTGGTGTGTCTCTTGGGAGCAGGTGTGATGGTTATTTTGCTGTGGTGGTTACTTTGGAGGAATACGTACACATGGTAACAAAACTCAGAAGAGTACAAAAGTGATGGGCATTGGATGTTTCCATGGTTACAGTAGTCATCACATGACATACTTCTTTGCATAGTTACACAAGTATATCTGAAGAACAAATTTCTAGTTGTTATTTGACCTTTTTTGCTTAGACATCTTTTGTTGTGAGAAATGACAGTCATACAGACTGTTTTTTTACGCAGAAACAAAACTGCTTTCTTTCCACTTCTGTCCTTCAACTACCCTGTTACCCTCTCTAGAAGGTACCAATATTTTACCAGTTTCCATTGTGTCCTCCAGATATAAGCAGGCGTGTGTCTGTTTCTGTGTTTGTGTAACAAAGTAAAGATGAACAATCTATCTGCAATCCTTAGCATAATACCTTGCACATCATAGAAAGTTGTCAACACCATCTACCATCCCTTGATTCTTTTGGAAACTCTCCCCGAGGCCTCCAGGGTACTGGGGCAACTGGGGCACTGAGAGCCAC